CAGTGGATGTTACAATAATTGATTCTATTGATGGTTGGATCATCATGACCTCTCCTTTTCTTGACTTCCTGAGGTGTAGCCGATGTTGAAACATTGACTGCTTTTTACTGGCATTGTAGACACTGTACCCTCCAATTCTGGTTACATTATTCTTTTCCAAGGGAGATTGAAATATATTATTCCTGTAAGGCAGGAGTATAACAATATAACGGGAATAACCAGGTGACCATGAGTCACAAGGCAGCTATGCAGAACTTCCTCAAGACATTCCGTGGGGCCTTGCCATGCACAAAGATCCCCTCTGGGGCTTTGTCTTCCAGGGGGGTGTCTTCATTTGGTTCCCATGCTGAGCCCCAGATTGTCATGGCCTCCACCACAATACCCATCAAATTACCAGCAACATTCTTCTCAAACCTAGAAAAAACAACAAAGGAATTCATATGGAAACACAAATGACCAAGAATAGCCAGAACAATCCTCAGCAAAAAAAAAAAAGCAGGTGGTATCACATTACCAGACTTCAAACTGTACTATAAAGCTACAATCATCAAAACAGCTTGGTATTCATACAGGAACAGGCATACAGACCAATGGAATAAAATTGAGATTCCAGAAGCAAAACCTCAACTTCTCAACCAACTCATCTTCGACAAAGCCTCCACCACCTACCACTGGGGAGAGGAGAACCTATTCAGTAAATGGTGCTGGGAAAACTGGCTGACCACATGCAGAAGATTGAAACAGGACCCCTATCTAGCCCCATACACAAAAATAACTCTAAATGGATCAGAGACCTAAATGTAAAACCTCAAACCATAAGAACCTTAGAAAATGAAGGAAATTCCCTCATAGAAATTGGAACTGGCATCCAATTCCTGAACAAAACCTGAAACCCACAGGCCATAAGCGATAAGATAGACAAGTGGGACCTCATTAAACTGACAAGCTTCTGCAAAGCCAAAGAAACCATCAAGAGAGCAGGGAGACAACCAACAGACTGGGAAAAAGTATTTGCCAACTCCAGGTCCGACAAAGGCTTAACATCTTGGATCTACAAAGAACTCAAACATGCTGAAAAGAAAAAAGCAAACAACCCCATTATAAAATGGGCAAAAGATATGAACAGACACTTCTCAAAGGAAGACATCCGAGCAGCCAACAGACACATGAAGAAATGTTCAACCTCACTAATCATCAGGGAGATGAAATCAAAACCACACTGAGATACCACCTAACTCCAGTCAGAATGGCAATTATCAATAATTCAAAAAATAACAGTTGCTGGAGAGGGTGTGGCAAAAAAGGAACACTTCTACACTGTTGGTGGGAGTGCAAACTAGTGCAACCTCTGTGGTAAACAGTATGGCAATTCCTAAAAGCTCTAAATATTGACCTCCCACATGACTCCGCAATCCCCCTACTGAGAATATACCCTGAAGAACTCAAATCACTCCATAAAAAAGGTACCTGCACACATATGTTTATTGCAGCATTGTTCACAATAGCAAGAACCTGGAAGCAACCATGCTGCCCATCAAAAGAGGACTGGATTTTTAAAATGTGGTACATATACACAATGGAATACTACACAGCCATAAAAAAAGAACAAAACCATGAATTTCGCAGCAATCTGGATGGAACTAGAGTCTATAATACTGAGTGACCTCTCACAGAAACAAAGATCTGAGTATCACATGGTCTCACTCATATAGTGGACCTTGAACATCCAACATAATACTATAAGAAAATGACTGACAGTGGTGGGAAACTCTTGGGGAAGAGGGGAAGGGAGACGGGATTAACAGTAGTAAATATCTGTCTGGGGACGGGGAGACACCTCTTATCAACAAGGGTGCCTGAAGGAGGCACATCTGTATACCTAACCCTTAACTGTACCCCACAATATCATAATAAAAAATATTGATTAAAAAAAATTAGCTGGGTATGGTAGTGCACACCTCTAGTTCTGGCTACTTGGAAGGTTGAGGTGGAAAGATTGCCAGAGTCCAGCAGGTCACTGCACTCCAGGCTGGGCAACAGAGTGAGACTCCAATTCAAAAACAAATCACCAAATCTTCATACGTTATATAAAGAGAGGTTTTATAAGTCAGAGGAAAGTGTGTGCTTGTACATACACATATACACTAACAAAACAAACTTTAAAACAACCCTTTCTAAGAACTACATTGTTTAAATATTCTAGCTTTTAAAATTACAAAAGCTACAAGAGAAATTGAATATTCTAAGAGTTCATAGATTTGCAGAGAAAGAGGCAAGGAAGCTTGTGGACCACTTCTAGGTTTTGGGAGTGGTTCTGGTACTGGTTGCAACCTCCAAATTGCCTTTATATACAAAACTTCCAGTAGAAGAAAATTTTTGAAGAAAGACAACCAGGAAATGAGAAAGAAAATACAGCCACAAGATGTGTGATGAGGGACATCTCTCTAGAGGATTTTGTGGACAAAGAGCAAAAAAAGTCCATGAGTCTATAAGGATAATCAGTTAATTGAAATCTGAAAGTCTAATCAACATGGGGGGGATTATCTAGGTGTTTTACTGCTAGAAGATCAATCGTCTTCATCACTCAAAGACTCAAAGGGGACAAACAGAAGACCAGTTGAGCCAGAAGTTAGTAACAAGAGGTTATAGTGCTTATTCTAGGTGGGTGAAGGTGACATTTCATCTATTTATTCTCTGGTCCACCAAGGTCTGATGAATGTGTCTAGAAACAACATAAAATCTGGCTTGGAAAAAACCACTCAACTCAAAACTCAATGACAAAGGTGAGATGCTTTTGAAAGAATAAGTGTCCCAATGGTCTTGTTGAAGAAATCCCAGCCAGGCTCGGTGGCTCAGCCTGTAATCCCGTGCCTCTGGGAGGCTGAGGTGAGTGGATTGCCTGAACCCGCGGGTTCGAGACCCGCCCGGGCAGCGAGACCTCATCTCTACAAGAAATCAAAATATCAGCCAGACGTGGTAGCGCATGCCTGTGATTCCGGCTACTTGGAAGGCTGAGGCAGAAGGATCACCGGAGCTCAGCAGGTCGAGGCTGCGGTGACCGGGAGCGGCCACTGCACTCCAGTCTGGGTGACAGAGTGAGACTCCAACTCAAAAAAAAAAAGAAAGAAAGAAATCCCAGATGACCAATAAATATTGGTTGAAACTAGAATGCCAGTTTTATTACTTTTAGGCAAAGATAATCCAAGCTAGAGAATGGAGGTTGAGAACTTTTCTTTCTTCAGTAGGGAGGTGTACTCAGAAAATAAAATTCAACCCAGAAACTTTCCTTAGTTGAAAATGAACAAGAGAAATTGAGGAAATGGCTGACTTAAAAGTTTATTTTAAATCAGTGTATCTTAGAAGTTGGTCTGTCTGTCCCACTATTTCCCATGTGTTGGGACTCTTGTCTAAAAAGTCAGGTCTGTTTATAAAAGCCTCAGAATCCAGTAGGCAGTTCTGGCATCACATAGACTTGGATATTAACATTTTACAAAATCTCAGAAAGGACACTGTTAGTTTGGGTCCTTTGATGAGGAAACGGCAAGCTTGAACAGCCAGTAGTGCAGGAGATGTTCTGGATTGGGGCTGGGGAAGGTGGAGGAGGAGTCAGACGCTACATGTAGCTCTGCCCTGTGTTGAAGGGGTGAGCAGGGCTTCGCAATGCAGGGTCAAATGGGGTCAGGCCAAGACCACCCACCGCAGGGTCCTGTGTAAGGAGGAAGGGCCAGCTTTGGTCCCGGCATGCTCAGTCACCCTGGGATCAGCCCAGGCAGGGCGAAAAGTGTCCCCACTTTGAATGCAAGGTCCTCACTTACCCATTCATTCACTCTCTTTTCTCTCCTTCCTTTCACTTCTCAGTCCTGCAAGTTAGCTTTCTCTCCAGAATACCACCCACACTGCTCTCACCAAAGGAAACTTCTCATCCTCTTCTTATCTGACCTCTCCTGGCATCTGACACTCCCTCATTCAGTCATTACCTCAGACTCCTTCTTGAAGGGAGAGCTCAGCAGACCACCCCCATGGCTGCCACAGAAATTCCTTCATTCTTCAACTCGTTTTCAAACAGTATCAGAGTACATCTTTAACTTCCCCCCATCATTATATTATAATCTCCCCAGCTTTCTCTACCTCTTCTTCCATAATCACATTCCTAGTTTCTTTTCTGAAATCTCGGTAGAATAGACCATGTCTTGGTGGAATCAGGTTGTATTCAGGGCTTCTCTTCATTCTCTTTTGCCTGTTACCTTTTTTAACTTTAACCTTGCTCCTCTTCTACCTGTGTTTTCAACTCTCCTAGCTTAACTTTTGCAGTTAGTGTCTACTCAGGGTGAGTAAATGTGGGAACATTGCTTAGAGTTTTTTAATCTAACCCAAAAATCCAACTGGAAGTAAAAGTTACCTTAATGTATGGCCAAAATATTTGCATTAGAGAATGCTATAAAATGATGTTATAGTCTGAATTACATTCACCCGAATTGGTATGCTGAAGTCCTAATCCCCCAGTACACCAAAATGAGACTGCATTTGAAAGTGCAGCCTTTAAAGCAGCAAAATGAGGTCATTGGGGTGGTCCCTAATCCAATATGACTGCTGTTCTTTAAAATAAGTCGAATAGGACACATACACAGAGGCAAGACCATGAGAAGACACTAGGAGAAACAGCCATCTACAGGCCAAGAAGAGAGCCCTCAGAAGAAATCAACTCCACTGACAGCTTGATCTTGGACTCCTAACCTCCAGAATTGTGAAAAGGAAATTTCTGTTGCTAAAGCCCCTGATCTGTTTTACTTTGTCATGGCAAGCCTAGAAAACTAGAATAAGTGGATAGAACATTCTACTTTTATTCCTTTTGTCATTCCAAAAAAACAGAAATTGAGAAAGACATGCCCAGGAAGCACCCAAGACATTGAACTCTGATTAGAGTTGGTGAGCACAAAGGGGGTTTCTATTTAAGGCTTGAAAACATTGAAAGAGCTTTCAAAGATGTGTTATTTTGGCAAATGGACAGGATCCCTCTCCTGGCAGCAGACACTGTGCAATATTCAGGAAGAACTGATGAGGATCCCTCGTGGACTGCACCCAAATTGGTGGCCACACTAGGTATGCATAAGAATTTTGACCTTGACCTCAGAGGGCGGGCAATCTGCATGGCATGACCTCTCCCAAGTCACATTCATTCATTACTTTTTCTTTTTTTTTTTTTTTTAACTTTGACATTTTCTGAAGATTTATTTAGATAATTTTTTTTTCATTAATCAGTATTTTTTATTATGGTTTTGTGGGGTACAGTTAAG